AAATTTTTGTCTACGTCCAAAGGCTCTGTCAATCACCTTAGCAGACGGCTCTGTCAATCACCTTAGCAGACGTAAGAAATCATTTCACTATGTTCTTTATGGCCCTGGAATAGGAGAGGGTCCACCAATTAGATCCAATCAATCTACAAACAAACATGTTTTTTTAAGATGATGTCATTGTATGACCGTGGATGTTTCATTTAATTAGTGCCAAAATGTGCTAAACAAATGGTGGCAAAATACCATTATCAGTATTATGAAATGCTAGGCAAAGCAAATTAAGAGGACAATAGAGAAGCAGTTTATCAAAACTGAGAACTAATCCTTAAAAGAATAGTTCTTTAGTGAAAAACTTATGAAACGGAATGAAGACATTCTTTAAAATAGTTAACATTCATTCTTAAAAATACTACACTAATATCGAAACTGATATTTATAAATGAATGAAGACAAGAAAGCATTGTGGGATGAGAGAGGAGGTAACATATATGAAGAAATTTGTAATAATTACGCGATATTAATGTGAAGCAAAAATAAGGAATGAGGTTAACATTAATGCAAGAGTCCCACCTCGCTTAGTGAAGGAAGAAACATAAAACATGTCAGATATAAAATGCACGACTAGAGTACATTTCAACTCATACCTTTCTCGGCCTTTTGGCTAAGATCAAGTGTAGTATCTGTTCTTATCAGTTTAATATCTGATATGTGGGCCAATGGTCCACACGATATTAAATTTATTTCTTGAGGGGGAGTGACCACTTCAATAGCTTGCTATTGGGTTTCTCAAGTGTCGCTTTTGTGTTGCACTACTGCAATAGCCTGGCACACCCCACCAAACCTAGTTCAAATTAGTGATCTCTCTGTTGGCATTTTACATTCTTTAATAGAATATTGGATAGTGACTCTAGCTAAAGAAATCAATTGGGATTTAAATGTTTGGTGGTTGTTGAGAAGTCCTTGCGTGAAAATCACGTGACAACTTTTTTAATTTAATTTAATATATATTTAACTTAATTTTTTTATTGAATGTGTAGGAGGATTATCAGATATTGTTCGCAAATTTTTTGATTCATAATCCTCGATATATTCTCGGAGAGGGAGGGCCGTTTCATCCAGATGTGGATTTTTATATTTGGGATCAAGTCATTGGCGGAAATAGCCCAAACGATTTTTTTTTTTTGTGGTGAAAATTTGGCGAACACCTTGAGAAGTGGGGATAGAACTATATTTCAAAGAGTTAAAGATGGGGAAGGGAGGATCACGTCAACCAAATTTGACACCATAACAACTTGAAACAATAAGAAAATTAGCGTTAAATAAGGCAAGACGTGAGTCTGCGCAACGTGAGACGACAATGAAGGCCCAAATGGAGGCTTAAACGGAAGCAATGAGGCAAGAACAACAACGACAAATGGAGGTCATGGCAAAGAGGCAGGCTGATATGGAGCAGAAAATAAGACAATTTATGCAAGAGTTTGGTAGAAATCAAAACGTTCGTGGTCAAGAGCCGGAGGATGACGGAAACGAAGATAATTTTGACATTGACAACTATACCAATCAAAATGATCCGTAGAATTATTTTTTTTAATTTTACTTTCAAATTTGAATTTGTATAATATACTAATTAATTAAACCTATTTAGTATATTAAATTAAAAAATCTTAAATTTATAATTTTAGTTTATTAATTTTATTATATTAAATTTAATATATTAATTTAATTAATTATAAAAGAAGAAAAATTCAGCAATTAAATTAAATTAAAAAAAATTAGTGACGTATTTTTGTGACATGTAAATCACGTCGTAATTTAATTTTTTTAATAAAGAAACAAAAGCTGGTAACGTGAAAATCACGTCGCAACTTAATATTTTTTATATAAAAAACAAAAGCTGAATAAAACGTTGGGGTGTTAAATATAATTAACTAATGACGTAATTTTCACGTCACTAATTTGTGATGTGAAAATCACATGGCAAATAAAGTGTCGCTCTGACTTCAGTGCCTGCTATGCTTGCTTCCACTGGAATTTTAGGATTTCTATGCAATCAAGTTGCGACGTGATTTTCACCGTGAAAATCACGTTGCAAAAAATTTGTCACCCGCTCTCTCCAACCACATGATTGTTTATGTCGCAAATTAATTGTTATGACATAATTTTTCACGTTATGACATGAGTTTCACGTCGCAAATGATGATTTTTTTGTAGTGAATTGTGCAAACCAACTCCACCAACAATTCATTTATTTTGATCAAATTGTTATAATTTTAATTTAATGGTAACTATTTAACCTTCTCACCTACATTTAATTTCATTTTGTAAAAGCATAGATCCTAATGACTTTTCAACCGAAACATAGTGATAAGTGAGAGAGGAAAGTTGATTTCATTTTGTATTCTCACCAAAATTGCATAATCACTTTAAGACGAGAAACAGTGGCAGTTTGACAAGTATAATGAACCTTCTGAGAACTTTCCAAATGGAGAAAACGCAAATAAAAAGGTGACACCACAAGTATTTGAAGAAAAATATCATACGGCAGGAAATCTATCCATTGACTTGAATTTCTTGTTGACCAAGTTTTGTGATGATGCTGAATTATAAATAGAATATGTGATGGAGATATACTCATAACATTCTTTAACTTTGTGAGGCCTTTGCATAGTAGAATATAAGATTTATTGAGTATTACATTGTGAGACATAGCAATGTCAAAAGTAGGAAGAATGAAGTTGGGATCACAAGGTATGGAAGTGTCCTTACAAGGACTTGGATGCATGAGCATGTCTGCATTCTATGGTCCTCCTAAGCCTGAGCCTGACATGATTGCTCTCATCCACCATGCCATTCAATCTGGTGTCACTTTTCTTGATACCTCTGATATCTATGGCCCTCACACCAATGAACACCTTCTTGGAAAGGTTACCATTTTCTCGTACCATTTTAGCTTTTCTTTTCATTACTTTTTTTTTTGTTTTGATGTAAAAATTTATGGGTATTGCAATTTGGTTTTTGTTGCTGCATTTACGAGTATGAATGAAATTGAAATATATATTCTGTGTGATTTGATGAATTGTGAAAACTGTGGAATAGGCTTTGAAGGGGGTGAGAGAGAAAGTTCAATTGGCTACTAAATTTGGAGTCAGAGTCAGGGATGGGAAATTTGAGATCTGTGGTGATCCAGTTTATGTGAGAGAAGCTTGTGAGGGTAGCTTGAAGAGACTTGATATTGATTCTATTGATCTCTACTATCAACATCGTATTGATACTCGTATTCCAATTGAAGTCACGGTTCGATTCTTTTCCTTACTCTTTTGATTTGATTTTGCAATAACAATATGTGATGTCCTGAACTTTTTTGGTTTTCTTTTTAAGATTGGAGAGCTCAAAAAACTAGTTCAAGAGGGAAAAATAAAATACATCGGTTTGTCTGAGGCGTCAGCTGCAACAATCAGAAGAGCACATGCTGTTCATCCAATAACAGCTGTGCAGTTGGAGTGGTCATTATGGTCAAGAGATGTCGAGGAAGAAATAATTCCAACTTGCAGGTGTGATATTTAGTTTGCAATTATATGAAGCACTGACATAGACACTGAACATGACACTAGATCGATTGCATATACATAGATATAACTTATAACTTGATGAGTTATGACTTTGTATCTTAGGGAGCTTGGTATTGGAATTGTTGCATATAGTCCTCTTGGGCGAGGATTCTTTTCATCAGGAACAAAGTTGCTTGAGAACTTGTCACAGGATGATTACCGGAAGGTTTGTTGAAAACATACTTTTACATAACACCATTTCAATTACTGGTTCATTTTCTTAATCAACTCACTTCCCCTTATGTTACAGGATTTGCCTCGATTTCGACCTGAAAACCTACAGCAGAACCAAACTATATTTGACAAAGTTAATGAACTGGCTGCAAAGAAAGGGTGTACTCCACCTCAGCTTGCACTAGCCTGGCTTCATCACCAAGGAAACGACGTGTGCCCGATACCTGGAACAACAAAAATTGAGAACTTGAATCAAAACATAGGTGCTTTATCCATTAAACTGACTCGAGAAGAATTGGCAGAAATTGAGTCCTTAGCAGATGCTGTTAGGGGTGATAGATATGGGGATGATATAAGCACATGGAAGGATTCTGATACTCCACCACTCTCTTCATGGAATGCTGCACAATGAAGTGATTTTCTTGCATAATGCTCATATTAGTATTGTACCTTTGGTGTTTGATGCTGTTACTTTCAAGAAATAAATCTGTATGAGTTTCCTTTTCAATGGATTTGTTTGTATAAATCAATGTTTTAAAAATCTATCTTTTATAGTTTCTAATATTTCATGTGGCTTTTTAAGTGGTGTGAACTCTAAGATGACTCCATATAAACGTTGGTTTGATTCTATAGAGGATTTTATCTATTATTTTTAGCTTCTAGTATTAAGTTACATTAACAATATATACTAATTAAAATATTAAAAAAATATAATATACTTTTTTTAATGTAAATTATGTATTATTTTAAGAAATAGTATTATTTTCGAAAATAAATATTACTACAATAATATTTTTAAAACATTTATAGACAATGGCAAATAAAATAAAATAAAATAACTACAAGAGTTTCGATTCAAATACAAATAAAAGTCATACGCATTTAAATTTAACTAAATCTTAGAGACACTATGAAAACATTGTTATTGATTAAATAATTATTATAATTTAAAATATATAAAATATAATAACTGATCGTACCTGATCAGAGTTGGACCGTCACAGCTGGCTCGAACTGAATTTGAAGGAGATGGGGGTACTTGCAAGATACTCCGATGATAAAGTGAGATATGGAATGAGCAGACGAACTGTATGTAGGTGTGAATGAATGAATGAATACTTGACTCTCTTGAAATAGAGGGTATTTATAGCCCCAGCGCTGGGCCAAAGTCTCTTTATTAGGCTGACCAAACATGTCCAACAAAGGGACTGCCAGGTTCTACGTGGAGTAGTGGAAACCTGCACGTGGTCCCCTACCTGAATGATGCTCTCTGCAGAAATAGGGAGGTGAAGACGCGATCAAGAGATGTCGAGGAAGAAATAATTCCAACTTGCAGGTGTGATATTTAGTTTGCAATTATATGAAGCACTGACATAGACACTGAACATGACACTAGATCGATTGCATATACATAGATATAACTTGTAACTTGATGAGTTATGACTTTGTATCTTAGGGAGCTTGGTATTGGAATTGTTGCATATAGTCCTCTTGGGCGAGGATTCTTTTCATCAGGAACAAAGTTGCTTGAGAACATGTCACAGGATGATTACAAAGAGTTAAGTTTGAACCCAAAAAGTCTTTGGAACATAGCTTTGTGCATTGGCAAGATAGAATCAAGAAAACTTTAAAAATATCACATACAGCAGTTTAACTAAAAAATCCCAAAACATGAATAACATCCCAAAACATGAATAACAGATAAATGATAGTAAGTAACTAAACATACAAATGAACCTATAAAACCAGAAAAATATATAACTCCTTTTTTCTAAATATATAGAAAGATTAAATCTATTCACAAAGATTAAATCTAAATAAATACACTCAACAAAATAAATCATAACCAATGAAGTAGTGAACTGCATACCTGGTATATCTTAGAGTATCAACGAGCAAAAGTATAACTTGTGAATGCTGCTTGTTCAAGTTTTGGCTTTGTTCCCAAAACAGAATCAAATATCTACTGCTTCCTCTTACTTGGCATTCCATCATCATTAAATCCAGGAAAATAATGGACATCAAGAATATCAACAAGATGCCATTAATTCTATTAACTTTTTATCATATCTTAACATTTTGGTTCTGTCCCAAAATATGTTGTACATTGTTTTTCCATATTCGCCATTTGTTTGTTATAGTTGACTTACTAGCATGGTTTAAAACCGAGGTTACAATTGTGGTTATGGTGCAAAAAAAAAGTGGTTATAATTGACAAAAAAAATATGTATAAGCATATAAGCTATGACAATGTTGTGAAGAGGACATACTCTTTGGTGTTTTGAGTAAGAACTTACTTGAAATGTAACACGGAGATAATACACAATGAACGGTTGAATGTTTAAAAACTTCTAATTTCTACATCATGAGTCTGCATGACACCATCCTGCAATCAAAAATATCAATTATTGCTATGTACATTGATACATGAACATAAAATTGTAGTATTTTTATGCTGCATTTGTAGTTGCAGAATGCAATTTAAAATCACACTTAATATAATCATTATGGACTTGCACAATTGACAAAGTCATGCATTTTGGAGCATCTAATTAAGATCCGATGCCTCACATCCGACCTTGTATAATAGATTCAATTACGAAATAATGCAGACCGGCTGATCTTAATGAATTAGACAATCTAGATTGTATATTTGTATGTTGAGGAATGAAAACAGTTACCACCCCACATCAAAATACAGTAGTGACATCTTTTAATAAAAAATAAAATATCTTATACATTGCAAACGCAGACTAAATTTCATAAAATGCACAATAATGACTTGTGAAATATCAGATTTAAGAATATACTGCCAATTATACAGGAATATGGTGTCCTTTTTTCGTTTTTCTGAATAATTATACAAGTAAAACTACCAGACTCAATTGTTCATATATACAAAATCACCAACATCTAGAGATTGCTAGTAATGGTGTTCACTTCAACAGAACTATGGTTCAAGGGGCTAGAGGTGCAGCAGCCCATGAACTTCAACTCTCAACTCTCAACTCTCAACCTGTTGAGTCAAAATAATACTACTCAGTCTTAAGTCAAAATGAATCATTTCTCCCTCGAGAGATAATGTTATAACACTAAGAATGTTATAAAAATGAATTACTAGTTTTCAATGACAGCTGTGGGATTTGAACCCACGCCCTTTCGGACCAGAGCCTAAATCTGGCGCCTTAGACCGCTCGGCCAAACTGTCTTGATATATGATAATATCACTTGGTCTAATATTTTGATTGAGTCCTTTGAAGGACTGTCAAACTTGAGAGGAATGATACGAAGCGGACTATATTAGTATCCAACTCGGACATATAGTGGTTCAGTCGCTAGCTGACGCACACCAAACTGTAGGTAAAATTAAGGAACGCATGAGAAAGGATCCAAGAGGGGTATAGATCATGGTGTTTGTAAATCATAGAAATTTAAGCTAAAACATTCATACATTTTTAAGGAGTTCTAAGGCTAGACATGAAAGACCCAATTGAACCCAAAAAAAATACTCATTTCATTAATCATGTATTACAAAGAAACTCCCCTCAGGCAAAACTGGAGCCAATAGTGATTCAAGACCAAGTAGTATGTGAACCAAATCATTCCATGACAAACAAAGCTATCTTTTACCAAATGAAGATGATAGAGAAAAAAACTTGGTATGGTGTTTGTGAATGCGGCTTCTTCAAGTTTTGGCTTTGTTCCCAAAAGAGAATCAAATTTCTCTAATGTGTCCTCGTATTAATAAAGTATTTTATAAGATATTATGGATAGCATGTCAAACAAGCATTAAACAACTTATAGACATGTGGTATGTTGTTTCCACAAACCCTTCTAAACAATCTTATCTAAATAGATACGATTAAATAACACAATCCAAACAAACCCTAAACCTTCAATTCACAAGTTGGCGCTACTCAGCTCGGTAAACATGTCTAATATTGTAGCCAATGCGGAATTTAATAGATATAAATTTGCGTAGTATTAAGTTGGCACATGGTTTCTTAAATGGCTTACTTTGTACTGAGCACTCCTAACACTAATCCAAAAATGCTGCAGCGCCGATATTGCAGCCATAGTAGGCATGCAAGGTTTCAATCAAGTAGCAGTTGACTGAAATAACATTCCAAGATGCAAAATGAAGATTAACATTTCATAAAAAAAAACATGTTGTTTCTAGAGTTACATAATCTCAAACTACAAATTAAAACATACCCTCAAAGATTACAACTAGATAATTTCGCTTCCAATCAAGAGAAAGGAATTGAACAGAGGAAGATACTCAATTTTCACGGATCTGAATTAATAGCAGAAATGGAATGAGAAAACTGTTAGCTATATTGTGTTATAATACTCAGTCAAAATGAACCATTTCCTAATGGAGACATAAAGGAATGGGAATGTTATAGCACTGCTCATAATGTTATACAAGCTAACTAATTAAAATTAGAAAGCAAAGCTGAATCCTACTTTATGCATTTCAAGTACTAACTAATAAAGGAATTAGGCAGTATTTCTTGATCTTTAATCCTTCCCTAATTTATGTGATCATCAAGGGTACCTATCCTCCTTGCTAGTCAGATCCAATCTTTAATCCTTCCCTAATTAGAATGTTTAGTTACTAATGAGAATAATGATGTTTTGATGAAGGGAGTTAGGTATAAAAACAATTGTTATTTTTGGGTACCTCAAGAAATTACCTACTCTTCCACATGTTTAATGACCAAAGAAGATGAAGTCAAGCTATGGAAACAGAAGCTTGGACATCTAAATCTCAAAGGTATGAAGAAGATTATATCTAGCGAAGCTATTAGAGGTCTACCAAAGCTCAAAATTAAGGAGGGTAAGGTCTGTGGTGAGTGTCAAATTGGAAAACAAATCAAGATGTCACGTCCAAAGTTACAACATTAGACTACTTCCAAAGTACTTGAACTTCTTCACACGTATTTAATGGGGCCAATGCGGGTTGAAAGTCTTAGTGGAAAGAGGTAATGTTTATGTGGTTGTTGATTATTTTCAAGATTTACTTGGGTGAACTTTATCAAAGAAAAATCAGACACTTTTGAGGTTTTCAAAGATTTGTGTCAACGCCTGCAAAGAGAGAAGGATAATGTAATTGTTAGAATCATAAGTGACCATGGAAAGGAATTTGGGAATGCCAAATTCTCTGAATTTTGTTCTTTTGAAGGTATCAGTCATGAGTTCTCATCTCCCATCACGCCTCAGCAAAATAGAGTAGTAGAACGCAAGAATAGAACATTACAATAATCAGCCGGAGTCATGCTACATGCTAAAAATCTTTCTTATTGTTTTTAGGCTGAAGCTATGAACACTGCTTGTTGTATCCACAAATTAACCTGGCCATGTTTGAATAAGCTTTAGTATGTACCCCCCTCCTGATATGAACTAAAAATAGAGATGAAGTGTTGCTTGCTGCTGGCTAGCACCCCTAATGAACCAAGCACCCCTAATGAACCAAAAAAAGAGATGGTTCAAAGGCTAGTAGGCTCAACAAGTGTTGTGGGCTGGACGTGCAGCGGCCTGTTATCCTTCCACTGTCAGGAATAGGAAGTGTTCGCTGCTCTGTGAAACCAGCCTCACGCTATACCCTCCTGTCTAAGACCCCTAAGAACCATGCCTTCGCACAAGTCCCATGGGTCAACTCGCAACTTGGAGCGGGCAGGCCAGCATGGTGCAACCACCAGACCAACCAGTTAAGCCTTAGCCATGTTCCATCTCCTTGATGCCCCCACATAGGTCACAAGCTGGCGCTACTCAGCTCGGCGAACTAACTAGCATGTAAGACATTTATGAACACTTGCTTGTGTGATGTTCTAGCCAATGTGGGACTTAAATGGATCAAAATTGGTCTAGTATTAAGTTGGAACATGATTTCTTAAATGTTGTGGTTGTCGTTATATATATATATATATATATATATATATATATATATATATATATATATATATATATATATATATATATATATATATATATATATATATATATATATATATATAGAGAGAGAGAGAGAGAGATTATAGGACCGAATTACTCACAGATATATAGAAGGATTAAATCTATTCAGAAAGTTATACGAAACTAAATACATTCAGCAGAATGATTCAAAACCAATGAAGAAATAGTTATATGCATACCTGATTCAGCTTAAGAGTATCAACAAGCAACATTATAACTTGTGAATGTTGCTTCTTCAAGTTCTGGCTTTGTTCCCAAAACAGAATCAAATTTCTCTAATGCTTCCTCGTACTTAGCATTCTAGCAGCATTAAATCCAGAAAAGTAATGGACATTAAGATTATGAGTAAGATACCATTAATTCTTTGGTCCTAATCTACATTACAATTTCATATAGAAAATGTTTTGTTTCAGACATGTCTATCTTAACTTTATAAGAAAAAATATATTCCTTGTTTTAATAAGTAAGTGAGTAATAAAGGAGAAGATTAACTGAATTCAGCTCATGTCTATATGTTATACATCGTTCTTCCATATTCGCCATTCTATTGTTATAGTTGGCTTACTTGCATGGTTTTAAACCGACGTTACAGTTACAGTTATGTTGCAAACTTTTATATGGTAGGAAAATACGGCAAATACGATGTTGCAGATACCTCAATACTTTTACACTGCCTTTGTAGAATCATTATGGATTTGTATTATTTGCAATTATGAAATCACAAAATTGACAGTCGTGCATTTTGGACCATCTGATCAAGATCCGATGTCTCACATCCGACCTTGTAAGGCCGCGGCATATGGGGGATTTCCTGACTACAGGGGTTCAAATCCGCAAATGCTAATAATAAAATGTCACAAATAATGATTGTGTAAATAAAACATGAGATACTTTTGAGACTACAAAGAGTGTATTGAAATTTCTTGTTGAAAGCATTATCAAAACATACCTGGAGCAATATAACCATGTGTCCCAGCAAACCTTGTAACACCGAATTCAGCGCTTTTTGCCTCATAATCTTCATCAAGCAAGATGCAGCTAGATTTTATATCCCTACGAATCGTGGTACAAATAGCAAATCCCTATTGCAGCTCCCAATGCAATTTATACCTCTGATTCCAATGCCAATAAACCTTCTCATCTTTTATATTTCTATGAAGAGCTTCAAAAAGATTACTATTTGGCATATACCCAAAAACTAAAAGATTGGTTCCTCCTTTAAAAAAACAAGCATAAAATTTAAGCATAATTCTATGTCTGATTTTCCCAAAAATTTAGGCATAATATATTGATTAGGTTTTAATAGATAGAATGTGAGAGGACCATTTCTAAAATAACATATTAACCAGGCAGTGTTTCAATAATCACTTAACCGGAGGCTAGGCTAGGCTCACCAGGTGTTGTGGGCCGGAAGTGCGGCGGCCCGTGATTTGTAATTTAAATAATGACAAAACTTACTTGAATTTCCCTGACTTTATTACCGACTACATCAGAGTTCCTGTGAAGAAATGGAAACCAAGGTTGACGGATCCATGGGCTAAGTAGAGAATCAGGGAAGCATTGCGAAAATGCATACAAAATAAACTAACCATATTGTTTCTGCATTCTCATGAGTAACAGGCTTATTCTTTGATGTTGAACATTTTGCGAATCCAGACAAAATGAAGAGCACAAACCTTGTCAGCTGATCCACAAAAAGAATGGGTTTGATTTATGAGAAAGTCAATGAAAAAGGGTTTGGCGGTGGGAACAAAACAAGAGCGACTGAGAGCTCTCTGACTTTCCTACTTCCTTCACCCGCCAAATTTTTATTTTTACAATTCTATAATTAATATATAAATCATTTATATCATTTTTTTTTATATTTATAACTTAATTATTTTATGATTTGTAGTATTAATTTATTGATTTATTATTAATAATAATTTAGGCATATTAGTGTGTTACACACACTAAAATATTTTTTCAAATTATTTTTATAAAAAAAAAAAAAAATTTTAAAACGTCTTGAAATTGTGTCAGATAAATTAGGAGTTTCAAAATATCTATAGACAAAATTTTATTTATCTAATCAATTAACGTTTTTGTCCAATCGACAGTTCTATTCGAAGTTGAGTCTCAAGCGATTAGAACAGTGTCTCATAATCGTGTTTTGTGAGAAAAGTCCTTTAGTGGGTGAGGTTATAAGTGCAATTCTCTTTTCCTGAATTGACGAGGATATTTCAAGTGATGTAGTCCTTTTGCCGATCAAGGTGCGGAGCGTGTGTTGACAACGTCTGAAGTAGAAGATTGTGATCTTGTTCGGGTTGAGTAATTGTGGGTTTTTCTTGAATAAAATTTGAGGGTTTTATCCTCCAAGATCATTGGGATTTGGATTTTTTTTGACGATTCTTTGCTTCATCAAATTCAGTCGTGCTTAAGGGATTGATGAATTGTGGATTTGCTCAACAAGGTAGCTACAATCGGAGGATTCTGAAGGAAGAATTGGAGTCATCATCTTGCGATAAAATCAGCCGAGTAAAGGGTTTGAGAAACGAGTTTGATTCTCAACAAGGTAGCTACAATCGAAGGTTTATCGAAGATTGGTGACATACTTGATTCAAATTGAATCAAGGGAAGAGAGGAGCTTAGTTTTCAATTTAACATATTGGGTTTGAATTGTGGTGACTATTTTATATCTCTTGTATAAACTTTACAATCATCATAGCAACTATCCTAATTCTAAATTCTAGAATTAGGGGCAGACGTACCCCACGCGAGGACGACAGGGGGAACTGCCTTAAAATCGCGTGTCGTTTTTTTTCTCTCGCTCTTTACCGTTTATTTGCAATAATCTGAAAATTTGCTCTTGTGGTTCCAATTGTCTTGATTTGTAGTGCAATGGAACTGTTACTAAAAACTATAGTAATCACTTTGATTGCTATAATTGATTTCAACACTACAAATTAAGGTAAATTGAACTTGGTGAAATTAAGCACACCAAGTGTTCGATAAAAGTCCAAAAGTGCAAATTTGTGTATTTTCTTCTCAACATTTCATTGGAAGTAATTGACAATAGTTAAAGAGTATAAGTGATCAATTATAATTGAAGTTAAGTGTTAATAATTCTCATTGATTCATTCCATTCGGTTTTTCGCATATCCGGTCTTTTCAATAGAGGATCGTTTTAGACGAGTGTATCCGGGTAGCTTTCACTGCGCTTCAAGTTTTTCTTAAAAACTGATTTTAAAAATCAAGGTATCTATTCAACCCCCCCCCCCCCCCCCCCCTCCCCCCCATTTCTAGATACGTCCTATCGTCTAAATAGACTAATGTTTTAGGAAACGTGGAAGACATTGAGTCCAATATTGATCCAGTAGGTATTGAGCCAGATAACCCTAAAGCAAACAAAGGTCCCTCTATTAGAGTTCAGAAAGATTATCCAAAGGAACTCATTATAGGGAATATTGACGAAGGGGGTCACCACTAGGTTTAGAGATGTGATATTCAACCCCCCCCCCCCCTCCCCCCCATTTCTAGATACGTCCTATCGTCTAAATAGACTAATGTTTTAGGAAACGTGGAAGACATTGAGTCCAATATTGATCCAGTAGGTATTGAGCCAGATAACCCTAAAGCAAACAAAGGTCCCTCTATTAGAGTTCAGAAAGATTATCCAAAGGAACTCATTATAGGGAATATTGACGAAGGGGGTCACCACTAGGTTTAGAGATGTGATATTCAACCCCCCCCCCCCCTTTCTAGATACGTCCTATCGTCTAAATAGACTAATGTTTTAGAAAACGTGGAAGACATTGAGTCCAATATTGATCCAGTAGGTATTGAGCCAGATAACCCTAAAGCAAATAAAGGTCCCTCTATTAGAGTTCAGAAAGATTATCCAAAGGAACTCATTATAGGGAATAATATTGACAAAGGGGTCACCACTAGGTTTAGAGATGTGATATTCAGTTATTGTTTTGTCTCTAAGCTTGAACCTAAAAATGTGAAGGAGGCATTAACTGGTGAATTATGGATTAATGATATACAAGAAGACGTGACCAGAAACAATGCCATACTTGTAGCTCAAGGATACAGGAAAGAGGTAAACATACAAGACTTAAATTCATGATATCTCAGATATATGTCAGATATATGACTGTTGTTACAAAACTTTGTACTTCACATTCATGCTCAACATTTTTAACTGATGAACCAAACTTATTCCAAGAAATAAAAACTTATATATCAGCTTTATAAACACTTATAATATTTATTAAACTTTCGATGTGGGACAAAAACAAAACTACCTTTGCAAGTTTTGTGATATTTGTTGCTTAGTCTTCACCGTCATCTAAAACTTAACTGGTTAAGCATAATCTTAAGTATGAATTCTAAAATATTATAATTCAAGTTTACAATAGTCTAACTATGATCTTAATCTAATTTCTCAAATCCAACACTATACTATATACAGGGTAAGGTCATTTTTGCAAGCATAGAAATGCCATGCAAATGATGCAGCAACCAACTTTGAGAACTAAACATAAAAATACAGTGTCTACTTCTTTGGGGTCGGAACTTCATGCTTATGATGATGAAACAAGCTTCCACATTGTGGATGACTCATGAGTCTGAAAAATTAGCCCAGTCTCTTCGCCTTACTAATATTTTCAATAGGTCTGAGAGATTAAACTTCCATTAAATATTAGTTGGAAGTGAAAGTAGAATCTGAATGGTAGATAGTCAATATCTACTATTTCTTTAAGCAAAGCATTGTTGTTGTAGGTGTACCAAAGTTCTTGGTTATCCATGTGGGTTGGTGATTATGAACAAACTGATTATCATTTCCTTATTATTAAGGAATACCTCCCATGTGCTTCTGTATGTTAAACTGCATAGTCACAGAAGGTTTTTGATTGCTAGTTTATGGCATCGTAGTAAAAGCATGTTAGTTCGGTAGTTAAGGATCTGAATCATACTCAAAGTCAGTAATTCAACAGGTAAATTTTTTATCTGAAAAAATTGTTTGATGAATGCATGAAAAACATGATTTATAAAGATATCAAAAAACACGATACCAAATTACAAATTGGGTCTAAGCCCATGATTTGTTTTCATTAATTAATTTCTAAAAGTATTAATTAAAATTATTAACTATTAATTTACTTTATAAAAAATATTAATTAAAAAAACTTAATTAAACGCACAAGGGACCAAAATGCATTTAATAAAAATATTTAATAATCCTGGTATAAAAATATTTTGTAAGTTGTATATATATTTATGTAGTATTACTATTAGTGCTTCTGGTTGCATAATGATTTGTTTCTTAGACTATATAACAAAATCTTGGTGGTACAGTTGAAGCCGAAAGAGACAAAACAAAACTTTTATCTTAGTTTAACAGATTATAATGAGTCATTGTCATTATTAATGACAATGAATGTGTCATTGTAGTACCAAACTTTTCACTTCTTCCTATCTGCAGTGCATAGCAAACAAAAATTCTCACTCACATTCAAATCATTTTCCTTCCTCAGTAATTTCAGTGTAAGCTCTCGTATACTTTCTAACAAACAAACTAATGAATAAACAATGTTCTACCAATAATCCCCACAAGAACATATGCCATTCTTAAAGTGATGAAACCGGCTAGAATCTCTGACCACGATCTCCCTGTCAACAATCTTTGCCATAAGCTTTATTGCATTATGACAATCCCCGCATACACGCAGATTTTTCATTATGGTTATTGTACTTCCTTCCACAGTGCTAAGCAACCCAAATACAATTGCAAGCCTTTCACTGTGGTAAGACAACATTTCTTCAGTTTGCTCAATTTCAACATCATGCAAGGCAAATTGTTGATCAGGAACATAACCCTGTTCTTTTAATTTTACTCCTAACCACTCTAGCTTTTCATATATCTTCTCAGTAAGTGGATGGGACCTATCTGCACACAAAAAATCATGCCTTAGTCCTTTTAAGGTTATCCAACTTGAACCGGGTTGTTTTACAACTCCATTATGCTTCATTTTCCTCCTAATCCTTGCCACTTCTGACCATCTTCTCAAAGATGCATACAAGTTTGATAGCAACACATAGGCAGCACTACAATTAGGCTCCATTTCAAATATCCGTTTTGCAGCTCTTTCCGCAACACCCAAATTAGAATGCATCCTGCAGGCACTCAGCAAAACAAGCCATACCATAGAGTTTGCTTCCACGGGCATGCTCATCGCTAGCGCTTCTGCTTCCTCTACCTCGCCACACCGGCCAAGCACATCTACCATACAAGCATAGTGCTCAACTGTCAGCTTCATGGATCTTTTCCGACCGAAGTACCCAAAAATACACCTCGCCTTCTGTAACATCCCGGACCTGCTACAAGCAGAAAGCAGACCGGTCAATGTGATCTCATCAGACTCAACACCTTCCATCAACATTTGTTTAAAAAGTGCCAAAGTCCATAAACCACATCCATGCTGAGCACAACCAACAATCACAGAATTCCAAGACACAACATTTTTTTCACCAATCCCATTAAACACACACAAAGCATCACCAGTATAACCACATTTACTATACATAACAACAAGAGAATTCCCCACATAGACCCCATTTTCCAAACCCATCTTAACTGCTACAGCATGAATCACTCTCCCCTTCTCAAGATCCTCCAACCCAACACACGAATTCAAAGCACTAGTAAACGAAGACTCATTAGGCACCACACAAAATCTCATCATGTCACCAAAAACCTCCAAAGCATCATCATGCTTCTCATTCAAACCATACCCAGTCAAAAGAGCAGTCCAAACCACTACATTCTTACAAACAATCTCACAAAAAACCTTAAAAGCATCATCCATTCTCTTACAAGACGCGTAAAAAGTAACAAGCGAAGCAGATACAAACTGATCAAAACCACAACAATAACCAAACTTGAACGTACGACAATGAATCTGAATACCCGCATTAAAATCTGAAATTTTAGCAGCAGCTGACAACCCACAAACCAAAGTAGTAGAAGAAATGTCAACGCCAGAACAACTCACCATGTCCTTCAAGAAAACCAACGCTTGAGAACTCTTCCCATTACGATCCAACCCAGCAATAATAGAAGTCCAAGAAATAACATCACGGCAAGGCATTTGACTGAACAACCGAAGAGCATCATTAACTCTACCATTATTACAATAACCATTAACCATAACATTCCACGTGGCAACGTCTTTGTCAGCACTTGGCATTGCACGGAAGAATGTTTCAGCATCAACAACTCTTCCGAGGGATAAAAAGCCGTGGATCATTGTTGTCCATGAGATTGAGTTTCTGTGCGGCATTTCATCGAACAGCTTAACTGCAGTGATGAAATCACCACAGAGGATTGAGGCTCTGATAATGGAGTTCCATGAGATAATGTCTTTGGTGTTTGATGGGATTTGGTTGAAGAGATTGATTGCTTGTGGGAGATTGTGGTTGTGAGCATAAGCGAGGAGCATTCTGGTGCAGAGAGAGACGTGAGGGGAAGGGATCTTGTTGAAGACGGCACGTGCTGAATCTAGTCTTTGGTTTTTAAGGTGGTTTAAGAATGTGGAGTTTAAGGAAGTTGAAGAGGCTTTGGGGTTTTGAAGAAGAGTGGTAAAGGGTGGTGTACGACATTTTGAGTTGGTTGGTTGAGTTGTTGTGAAGATGGGTTGGATTGAAAAGTGTGGTTTCTTTGGCATGGAAGAAATAATGTGACTCAATAAGACCGGACATGGATGAAGGAGAGAGAAAGGAGAAGAAGAAAAACATCACACAGGTTTATACTCACCAATTTATGTTTTATATTAATGCCACTCATCAATTATATATCTATAGGCATTATAGGCACGACAATACGGCGGAGACGATTATAAGGAATAGAGAATTAAAACTTAAATATGATCTAAACGAATTCGGTTGGATTTAAATATTTTCGCTTTATAATACTCTTTTAAACTTTAAGAATTAATTTAAATCACTATACAACTTACAAGAGTGTCACACTTTATAAAAATATCATATAGTTTAATCCTGTTATGTAACACGGATTATCGAAAAGAAGATTAAATCACACATTTTCTTACATGCGATCTTACACGACATTCAATCACATATGATAATTTACTTAAGATATTACACGATATCCAAACACAACAACATCGCAGCGGAATATATTTGAAAACATATAATCAAACACGTCACTAGTCTCATAAAACCTCTTTCAACTTCAATCAATATAAATAAGAGAGTCATAAGGTTCTACTCTCAATAACATAACATATAGGTTTAACAAATAACAAATGTAAAATAACACATATACAATTCTCATTCCGATGTTACATGATCAGAGCAAGACCATACTACAATTAAACGACACTACATGGAAGTCACTTCAAGAGTTATCCTTCCATTTACTTCAGCAATGCTACTTCTGAGAATCTACACGTTACCAACATGGAGACAACATTCAAACTGAACGAGTGAGTAATCATAGTTAATTATAAAAGGGATAAGAGAAAAATAAACTCCAACAATTATAATCTACAATTCAACATCATCAATACAATATATATTCACACCTTCATTCATCATAAATAATTCACACAACATCTTTATAACAACATTTACACAATCATATCATAAGCACAAGCATCATCACATCATAATTCAACAACAACTTTATGCAAATATCACTTAGAATGTTAAATGCAACAACACTGACGCAATGCATGTGGTACCATAATATGAACACATAGGTTCACTTTACTCCATGATCCACACTGTAGGATTGATTCTCTCTTGGAACCGGAGTACACTAAATTGCCACCATCACCATAGTCAACGCTTCACAAAATCCTCGAACAAAGGATTTAGCTACTCACACTTGAACCATCACCATAAGAAATGAGGTCACAACATAATTTTGGACATAAGTTCAATAACATGGATGCATGGACATCTCAACATGCACAACAACAATATCAACATCAACATAATATATTTCAACAAAATAACCACACTTGAATCATCACCATAGCAAACGAGGCATAGAACAACATTGCCACAATATTTCAACAATTCATTAATAAAGCATATAGGCAATTTAAATATGATACGCATGTAATTAATAATCAAACAAGCTGCATAGATCAAATATGTTATAGTTCTCATGAGTTTCCCAATACTTCGAACGACGCATCAAATCGATTTATGAATCTCAAGTTACGACACTTTTGATTCCCTACTTCCAGTCGTCGCCCCTCGCTCGCTTGACAAAATCCCCTGCCACTTGCCCTTCGCTCGCCCGACGGCCCAACTGTGAATATGTCGTTTGGGCTCGCCACCTGCTCACCCGGTGAATCGCCTCGCCCCACACTCGCCTGATACTCGTCCGACGAATCTGCGCGAACCTGCAATTCTTGGTGCGATTCGGTACTGTAACAGACCCCTCCAAGGTCGAATTTCAAGTACAATAATCATCCAATATGCATCATAATCATCATATTTCGAGATATAACAACAATACATCAACATATACACATCAATTATAGGTTATGACATATTAGACATCATTCTCAACAATTTCATCACAAATCATTCATCGTCAATCAACATAAACAACAAAACCTATGTCTACTCTACCCTTATACAAATCATAATCAATCAAAATTACCCACATACTTTTATATTCAAATACACTATATCCACATCAATATAGAGAATCTTCTCCACGTCCTCACTTACTTTCCTCCATAAAAAAGTCTTTAAAATATTAAATAAAAAAATAATACCGACAAAAACCTAAAAGAAAAAAAAAACACATTTATCAACACATAAAATAAAATGTTAAATAAATATTAGATAATATCGAAAAAAATATAAATATTATTGTATTAAAAATACTAAAAGCTAAACGCGATTAATTCAAATATTTATTTTGTCGCAAATTTTATATAACTTTAACCAAAAATAATAATTTTATTTTACATATTATTTACAAAAAATAAAATATGCACAATTAATATAAAATAATTTTATATCAACAACCAATTAATAACGTATATTTGATTATATGTGATTTACATGTATATTTTAAAATTACTTTGATAATATGATAGACATATGATTTTTTATAATGGTTTTTTCCTATAATATTACATTGTAGTAAAGAACTAGTAATTTTTTAAGAGATATCATTTAGCATTTGATATTATCATATCTTCTATTTTTTAATTTTTTATTTATCTATAATTATATATAAAGGTAAAACATGGTTTTAATGTAACATATTTTTATTCCAATTATATCCTTTTCAATGTATATTTTAACCTCAATTTCTCTTTACTGACTGTTATATGTTTTAAATTTTATTTTTTAATTATTTTATAAATAATTAACCTTAAAATTAAAAATTAATATATAAAAAATACCGTTTATATTTTCATCTGTTTGTGCATTAAAGAAAGCGGACATACCAACATTAGTATATACTAATAGAGATTAATTGATATGCATTATCGGTATAAACTTTTTTACACAATCACTCATATATAATATTTTGAATATAATTAAGATAAAAGTCAAGCAATTATAAAAATCTGACAATGATTATTAACTAACAGTGTAAAACTGCTTTATACTTTCGATGTATATCAATTAAATAATTGTCAGGTAGAATTGGAGTGTTACACGATTCGATATTGTAGCAGACCCCTCCAAGATCGAATTTTAAGTACAATATTCATCCAATATGCATCATAATCATCATATTTCGAGATATAACAACAATACATCAACATATACACATCAATTATAGGTTATGACATATTTGTGAGGGCAAGATCCCTCTATATGTGTTTTAATGATGTCAAAATGGTTATTACTCACTCTCCATTTGGATTGGTCCTATGGAAAATATTATTATGGAATGGTTGGAATGAAGATCTCTAGAAATATTCATTTTTGGGAAAATTCACTGTTTGCATCGACTCAAAGATATGTGCAGTCGACTCATAATTCTCAACCAAGCTCAGTTGGCATAGCAAAAAGCAAGCTTTCGTTGCTTTGTCAACCGCCAAAGCGGAATATGTTGCAGCTGGTAATTTTTGTGCCCAAATCTTGTGGCTCAAACAATAATTGCTCGACTTCAATGTCCTTGATCGCATTCCTATTTTTTGTGACAATACAAGTGCCATCAACCTAACCGAAAATCCGATTTTGCACTCTCGCACAAAACATATTGAGATTAGGCATCATTTCCTAAGGGATCATATGGAAAAGGGCGATGTCATTTTCGATCATGTTGATAGCAAAAATCAACTTGCCGATATTTTTACTAAACCACTCACTACATAACCCTTCTTTCACATCCATAAGGAACTTGGTGTTCTCGATATCTCAGATAGGTTGCAACTTAATTAAGTTGCATGCTCCTTATTTTATTACATATATTCCCTTAATGTTTGATGTACATATTAATAGTTTTAGTGAAAGCTCTCATCAATCTTCATGAAAGTAATATTGTTCCCATCTATTTTCTACTCTTGATTATGTGTAAATGCTAAACTTGCTCTACTTTATGTATTTTTCATCCATTTCATAATTTTTAAATGCACAGGCCTTCTACTTGCTATATTAACTACATGAAATCAATTGAAAAAGCTGCAAGAATTAAACACTTTTATGATTGAGTCGACTCATATCATGTATGCATCAATGCATACTGAATCACACACTCAACATTAATTGAGATTCTGTGTGTGTCGATGCAAGCTCTATAGCAGTCGACGCATCACATAAAATTTCTGCATACCTGATTCGTGAGTTACATACATTATTTTTTTTAACCATTAACCCTAAACATACCCATTCTTCTCAAAACCCTAAAAATCAAAATCTCTCTCAAGAAACTCCTCAAATCGATTCAAGGGTAACCAAAAAGATAACCTTCAGAGGCAGCTCCTCCAGTATTCCTTCTGATATTCCGATAACTACCCTTTCACTTATCTCTGATGATATTGCTGAAACTTTTGCTGAAACATTTTGTAAGAGAAGTATAGTGTAACGCGGTGGGAGAACTGACTTGATTGTTTTACGTTTTATCGCAAATGTTGCGGTTAGCAAGAGTTGCCACCGACTTTTCTTTTATCCAAAAGGAAAGGCTGGAAAGAACAGGAAAGACCTTTGAGATTGTTTTCTTGAGTTCGGGGGTAGATTATGAAAAGGGAAGGTGTTAGCACCCTTTTCATCTGTAGTTATCTACGGGCTCTTAGTTGCTTGCTAGATCACTTGCTTTTGTTTGAAAATGTGCTTTGTGTGGTTTTTGAAAGTATTTTGAAAATGCGTCATTGTTTAGGCAAACTTTGTAATAATTCTCGTTCGTAAGAATGTATATAAAGTGTTGATCTTTTGAAAATGTTTCAATTTTGAAAGATGTTTTGAAAGTGTTGGTGTTTGTTTTGAAAATAGCAAGGATGTTTTGTTTTGAAAATGAGCAAGCAACTAGGAACATTCTACCTACTCAAAAGTCTTTCTTGTTTATTTCTTCTTTCCTTTGACACTGTTATTTTACCATGAATTGGTAAGTAACCTTATCTTTGGATGTAAAAGGGAAGGGTATGGGTCATCGTATAGTCATGAATAACAATATTGTAAGATATCTTAGCATTTTCTTTAAGGGACTAAGATCATTCGTAAGGCA